TCTCATGGGGGCAGTGGCTGGGATGGTGGCTCAAGTGGTAGAGTGCTAGCCTTGAGCTGAAGAGCTGAGGGACAGCGCCCAGGCCCAGAGTTCAGGCCCAAAGACCGGATCCTCTCCCCTCTCCCTCCCCCCCCAAAAAAGAGAGTCTCATGTGTTTTCCTTCCTGGATTGGCTTCAAACCAAGACCTTAAGATCTTAGCCTCCTGAGTAGCTAGGATTACAGGCCTGTGCCACCAGAGCCCTGTTTAGTCTCAGCTCTTTAAAGTACATTCTGAACTGGCTCAGGGGAAAATTTGTATTTAAATGTACTCCTTTTACTAAGCTAGTACTTCTGGTCTAAAATGGACACTCAAATGCATTCTGGAAGTCTCCTAACAAAACTGAGTACTCAGCCTCTGGAGTTCAGCACTTCTGTCTCTCCTTCCAGGGTGGACCAGAGCTCCCCAGTACTCTTGATTGATCCAATTCTGAGTGCCTTGGCAAAAAAGTACAATAGAAGTGCAGCTCTGATTGCTCTTCTCTACCAGGTGCAAGGAGGGGGTGTGACCCTGGCTCAGAGTTTCAAAAACAGGAGATGAAAGAGAATGTGCAGGTAATAAGGGTGTTGTTGACATCAGGATTCCTGTTTATTCCTCTTCACGTGAATCCTCTGAACACATTTCTGGATCAAATGGCTGTTTCTGGTATTTCTTATACCCATGAGATTCCCAGTGCTCTTGAAAATTTTTTCTTCTAATTTACAATAGAAAAGAGAATAGCCATAATGAATTAGGATTGGGAAGAGCAATGAGAATTTTGTTTCAGAATATTCCTGTGCCATTGACATCATCATTTCTTAATTGAGGGCAGTGAAGTTTTTTAATTTAAATTTTATTATAAAGGTGATGCCCAAAGGGGTTACAGTTACATGTCAGGTAATGAGTACATTTCTTTTTGAACACTGTTACTTTTCCCCTCATTTTCTCCCCCTTTTCCCACTCCTGAACCCTCTGCCCCCAAATTGTATACTTCATTTCCAATATCGTGTCAAGAAATATAACTACTGAATTGGTTCGCCCTTTGTCCCACATTTTTGTCATTCCTCTTTCCCTCCACAATTAAGATAAACGTATATACAAGACAAAGGATACAGAAATGAAAAACAGTGACAACTGGGAAGAAACCAAAGAAAATGGGAAAGAAAAACATAACTGCACATAATGCAGTAAAAAATCTCTTGTTTCCACTTCTTGGAGCCCATTTGGATATGCATTATTTTACAAGGTCATATGCATGTAACTGTTGAGCCATCATGATCTTCTCATAGGAATATCCTCCTTTGTTTTCACTGTGCATATGTTTGGAGTGCTATTTAATTCATCATGCCCTAGTGTAATTATTTGTCTTCTACTATCCTTTGGATTTACTTGTAGATATATATATATATATATATATATATATATATATATATATATATATA